TGACTTGTATCCAGAATATATAAAGAGTTCTTACAGCTCAATAAAGCTGTCAAAAGGAGATAAAATAATTGAGTATACACTATGCAAAAGAATATGTACAGTTGGCCATTACACTCATGAAATTATACTAAACATCTTGATCAATAGAGAAATGCAAATTAGATAAAGAGAAAGACAGAAAAAGGAATATATAAGGTCAGATGAAGAAAGTTTTATTTGTGTTTGTTTTAGGATGGAAATGGCTTTAAAACAAATCTGTATCATCCTCAATCTATCACCGTTTCTCTTTTTTTTTTTTTTTTTTTTGTAGGAGTCTCACTCTGTCACCCAGACTGAAGTGCAGTGGCCGCTCCCGGCCACCGCAGCCTCGCCTGCTGGGCTCCGGCGATCCTTTCCGCCTCAGCCTTCCGAGTAGCCAGAATTATAGGCATGTGCTACCACGCCCGGCTGATTTTTTGATTTATTGTAGAGATGAGGTCTTGCTGCCCAGGCAAGTCTCGAACCCACGGGCTCAGGCAATCCACTCACCTCAGCCTCCCAAAGGAGCGGGGTTGCAGGCTGAGCCACCGAGCCCGGCTTATCACCATTTCTATTTCCTTTTTTCTAACTGTATACAGATAAATTTTTTTCAATAGTTCATCAACACCATCACTTCAGTATGTTTTAATGCAGAACTATTTCTTCTTTATCCATTCTTTCCTTCCTTATTACTTTTACATCAGCACTAGGATACCAGGCCCAGAATTACGAAGACATTTATTTTGCTCATTCTTCCAGCAAACATTTGTCATATTTACTTCTTACTGATTACTTACCTGCATCTTGGTAAAGATAACAAGTTGGTGGTTGGAAATCATGAGAGAGGCTGTCTATGGAGATACAAATCTAGTACTTATCAGTGAATAGCTGGTATTTAAAGTCATGTTTCTGGATGAGATCACTTAGAGAAATGTGCATGGAAAGAATAAAAGAGATGACTGAGCCCTGAGGTAGTTCAGCCTTTGGAAGTCAGCTAAGTGAGGGTGGGTAGGTCCAGCCCATAAGAAATGGAACAGCCAATAAGATTAGTGTTTCAGAGGACAGTTCATAATATTGTAGGAAGAGGAGGGATTACTCTGTACTGTTGCTGATAGGCTAAGTCAGAGGAGCATGAGAATTGACTATTGGATTTGCCAATGTGAAGGTCATTGAAGTAGGTACAGTATAAGAGAAAATAGTAGAGGAAACAGGCAGATTATTTGGAGAATTATGCTCTTATGTGGAGTGTTGGATGATAACTAAAAGGCATTCTGGAGTTGTGAAAGTCTTGTTTGTTTTATTTTGAGAGGGGAGATTTTATACCAAGGTTTATGAACTAATAAAGATTATCTAGGAATGCAGGGAAAATAGACATTGTAGAGGAAAGAAGGGAGGATCTGTGTCTTTTATAGGTGGGTTGAAGTGGGATTCAGTACACAAATGGAGAGAGATGGTCTTTGGTAGCAACATAGATAGTTCACCCATAGTGACAGGAAGGCAGTGTTGTGGGTATAGATTTAGGCCAGTTACCAAATAATTCTTGAGCTCTCACTATGTACAAGGCACCGTTCTTATGAAAGCAAACTTTAAAAAAAAAAAAAATATATATATATATATATATATGTATATATTTAAGTAAAGAAGTTTAAGTAGAGATATAGATGGTTTAACCAGTTGTCTGGTTTTTGTATACAGGCATGTTAGTGTTTACTAATATACTCTCTACATGCTGTTTAGTACTCAGTTATGTCAGACTGTGCTACTGAAAAAACTTAGAATTTTTCAATAGTTGTTCCATTTGTATGTCCCTTATCTCCCAAGTAGCTTGTAAGCTTCTCATGTTTAGTTGCTTTTATTTATAGCTGAAGTGCTCCTGAGACATCCTGAACAAGCCATGAGATGATAATCCTTAGAAGTAGAGTGTGTTGAGGATGTGCAGTGCTCTCTGTGTAATGAGTTCCTCACATGGAATCATCAAGAGAAGACTTGCTGGAGGCACACTGGGGAGGAATGTCTCTTTTGTGGCACATTCTCCACTATAATTTTTACCTTTCAAATAATTCACATTTTGTATAAAGAATTAAAAGTTGTTATGGCATAGTAGACTATTTTTTTTTTTGAGTTAGAGTCTCACTCTGTCGCCCAGACTGGAGTGCAGTAGCCACTCCCGGCCACCGCAGCCTCGACCTGCTGAGCTCTGGCGATCCTTCCGCCTCAGCCTTCCAAGTAGCTGGAACTACAGGCACGCGCTACCACACCCGGCTAGTTTTTTGATTTATTGTAGAGATGAGGTCTCACCAAGTTGCCCAGGCGGGTCTCGAACCCACGGGCTCAAGCAATTCACTCACCTCAGCCTCCCAAGGCGCGGGATTACAGGCTGAGCCACCAAGCCCAACTTAGTAGACTATTAAAAATGTGTATTTTTGTGTGTTAAATTTTTGTTGAAATGATAATAACTAAATCTTAGGAGAGCAGTTGTTTATGTTTGAAGTCTCCTATATGATCCTTTGAAAAATTCTTAATTTTAACCCAGATTCTTTTTTTCTCCTTATATTTGATTGCATTTCTTTTTTTACCCTAATGGAGAACAAAGTAACAACAGAATTCAATAAATTTTCAATTTTTAATTCTTACACTAGTTTCTATAACTATTTGTGCAGTAATGAACTACCTTCAGACTTTATCACTTACTATGATATTGTTTCCACTGTTAACTTTTGCTGCTTTCTGTTTTTCACTTCTTTATATGGGGGGGGTCCAGGTAAATTCTGTATAAAGTAGGTAAAAAGTTCTTAAAAGATTTCAAGAGTGTACTGTTAGCTTTTGTCATTGACTATAGATTTTATTTCAGAATGTCATCTATAGTTTTTAAAGTATGCTAAGTGTCATCATTGCATATACTTATTTATTAGTTACCTATAATGGTGTAACACTATTACCATAAACTTAATGGCTTGAAGCAACATACATTTATTATTTCACCATTTAGGTATATCAGGAATGATGTGTAGCTGAGCTGGGTTCTCTTCTCAAAGGTCTTACAAAGCCCTAATCAAGGTGTTGGTCAGGTCTGTGGTCTCATCTGAGACTTGAGGAGGGATAGATCTGCTTCTAGACTCATGGTTGGTTGTTGGCAGAATTCAGTTCCTTGTAAGCTGCTGGACTAAGTTTCTCAGTTTCTTGTGGGCTGTCAGCCTGAGGCTATTTTCAGCTTCTTGCCTTGTGGCCTTCTCCAAATGGTGGCTCACAACACTACAGCTTACTTCTTTTTTTTTTTTTTCCAGTTGGAGTCTCACTCGGTCGCCCAGACTGGAGTCCAGTGGCCGCTCCTGGCCACTGCAGCCTCGACCTGCTAGGCTCCGGCGATCCTTCTGCCTCAGCCTTCCAAGTAGCTGAAACTACAGGCCCATGCTACCACACCCAGCTAAGTTTTTGATTTATTGTAGAGATGAGGTCTCTCCAAGTTGCTCAGGTGGGTCTCAAACCCACTGGCTCAGACAGTCCACTCACCTTGGCTTCCCAAAGCACGGGATTACAGGCTGAGCGACCGAACCCGGGCTAGCTTACTTCTTAAAAGCCAGTAAGAGTCTCCTCCAAGACAGGCTGCTTTTGGGAAAACTCTAACTGGAGTTTTTCCTCTACTTTCACACCACCACCCATAATAGTCATCAAACAGAAGAAGACTTCTGTGACCAAACGTGTTAGGTTTTTCAACAGGCAGCACACACCAGCTGGGTGTCCTCTAATTCAGCTCTGACACTTTCTATCTGGGGATGTGTCAGATCCCCAAAACTGCCACCTCAGACATCAGTCGCAAGTCCAGGCCTCTGAAGCTTCTGACCTATTGGCTTCAAGTAGGGGTTCCCTCAGCCCCCTCTTTGGGTTAAATTGATTTGCTGGGGCAGTTCACAAAACCCAGGGAAACACATTTATTAGTTTATTATAAGGGATATTGCAAAGGATAAAGACAGGGAGACAAGTAGGGCAATGTATGGGGGAAGAGTTATGGAGCTTTCATGTCTTTCTTAGTGTACCTCCCTTGAGGGAGGAATCTCTACCTTCAGCCATCTGGAAGCTCTCCTATTAGGAAGCTCTCAAAACCCCGCCCGGTTTTTATGGGTTTTTATAGAAGCTTCATGGCATTGGCATTTCTTCCTCCAGGTTAGATAGTGGGACTTTCTCTGGGGAGGCTCTTAAAACCCACAATCAGAAAGGTAGGGGAGCTGGGCATGGTGGCTCAGCCTGTATTCCCGTGCCTTTGGGAGGCTGAGGTGAGTGGATTGCCTGAGCCCGCGGGTTCGAGACCCGCCTGGGCAGCGGAACCTCATCTCTACAATAAATCAAAAAATCAGCTGGGCGTGGTAGCGCATGCCTGTAATTCCAGCTACTTGGAAGGCTGAGGCGGAAGGATCGCCAGAACCTAGCAGGTCGAGGCTGCGGTGGCTGGGAACGGCCACTGCACTCCTGTCTGGGCTACAGAGTGAGACTCCAAAAAAAAAAGAAATGTTGTGGGGGAAAATTAGAGTCCTGCCTTGGGACAGGCTGAAAGGAGGGCAGGAGAAGGTCAGAGAGATTCTGTTTCTTAGGCCTGCTCCTGAGTCCTAACCAACCAATATTGTAACAAAAGCCTGTAACAAGGTCTATGAGAGTTATGAACTAGGAATCATGGAACCATGGACGAAAACCAGGTTATAAATATATATCATGATACTACACAGGTATTATAGCTTTATGTAGTGCACTCATGTACACATAATCATTCTGTCTCTTGGTTAAAAGCAAGTTGCAGTCTCATCCACACTCAGTGGAGATCACCCAAAATCCTGATACACCAGGAAACAAGGATCAAGGAAACCATGAAGTCTATTTGCCACAATGTATTTGCTTTTTCTTCACATATGATACAAGCTTATTTTATTCAGTAGTTTTTGCTGCTTATTTAGATGTAGTGATAATTTTGGATTTTTTATTTTTCTAACCAGATTCTATTGGCCGTGACATCCCCAAAATGCTTGAATTATTTAAAACTGGACATGAAATTAATGTAGATGACGAAAGGGAGAATTTTCTTCAGACCAAAATAGCAACAGTAAGTTATGACTAAAATTACCAAATAACTCTTTTTTCTTTTTTGTTCATGTAATTTGTTAATAATTTATAATATTATACCAGTCATTTGAACTTGTTCTCAGCATTAACATTGAGTGACAGTAAATATACACAAAGGTAACTTTTTTATTCTTATAGATTGAATTCATAAATTATAATGGTACTTGAGAATTCCTTCTAGAGTTATGTGCTACTATGACATTTACTTATACTTTGCCTTATTTATCTATTTTATGTATATAATTTTTGTTCTCTAATATTTTAAGTTTATTGACAATAAGGTCTAGACCTTGTATATCTCCTATACAACATTGCATAATGCTGAGCTCATAGTAGGTATTAAATGCCACTTTAGTGGAATTGTATAATTTGCTTTTTTTTTTTGAGTTGGAGTCTCACTCTGTCGCTCAGACTGTAGTGCAGTGGCATGCTCATGGCTACCCCAGTGACGACCTGCTGGGCTCTAGCGATCCTTCTGTCTCAGCCTTCCAAGTAGCTGGAACTACAGGCATGCGCTACCATGCTTGGGTAATTTTTTTTTTTAATTGTAGAGACGAGGTCTCGCCAAGTTGCCTGGGCTGCCCTCGAACCCTCAGGCTCAGCCAGTCCACTCACCTCGACCTCCCAAAGTGCTGGGATTGCAGACTGAGCCACTGAGACCAACCAATTTGCTTTATTTTAATGAATCGTGTCTGATTATTTTTGTTTGCATTTTTAAAAATTGTTTCCTTACTTTTAGGAGATACTGGAAATCAGTTTCCAATGCCACTTTAGGACACTTGTATAGATACATCAGATTTATAGTACTGTGTTTTTAAGTATATAGTTATTAGAAACATTAAAGTTATTTATACTAAAGAATCTCTAAAGTGCCTTAGATCTAACATGTAATTGTTTTCCTATTCAATAACTATAGGAATAACAGTTGCATTGATAGCAAAATTTAAACAGTGACTACCAAATGTCAGTTGCAACTCTAAACACTTCTCATATATTCTGTTTTTTAATCCTCAACCCTCTGAAAGGTGAAAGTATCAGGATACCCCATTTTATAGATAAAGGCATAGAATCCCAGAGAAGTTAATTAACTTTTCCAAGGTCTCACAGCTACTGTGAGACAGAGTAGGTATTTGAACCTTGGCAGTTTCCTCAGGAGTTCAGGCTCTTTACCTCTATACCATCTTGCCTCATGTATAGAACTATTAGAATTAGTATGATTCTTCTTTGTCCTCCCATCTTACTCTTAAGGGGAATTCTGCATCATACCCAGTGACTCATAGTCCAGGTTCATAGAGCTGTGCCCACTGTAGATCATCAAAAATAGAGGAAAAACTAAGCACTATGTTGCCAAGGTTGACCTCAAACTCCTGGACTCAAGTAATCCTCCTTCTTCAGCCTCCTGAGTAATTGAAACTCCAGGCACGGGCCATCATGCCTGACTTCTCAGCTAGTTTTACGGTAGGAAAACTTGCTTTGGAAAGGGAGCTAAGCAGGTTTAATCCAGTCTGAGGTTGGAAAACCCCTACTTACCATCATTACCATCAAAGCTCAGCTCCGGTTTATTTGGCATTGAGCTCTGCTAGTGTCTGATGTTGGAATTTCCTTGTTTCTGAAAGACCCTTGGCAGCGTTTCTTGTTTCTTAGAGTTGACAACATTGTAATCTAAAAGCCAAACAAGTGAAAAACAGAATACAGATTTTAAGAATCTGTTCTAGCAGTAGAGACTTCAGTTTGAATACCTGTTCTGCTACTTTAGAGATGACAGACTCTAAGCAAATTTCTTAATGTTGTGTCTCAAATTTCCTCATCTATAAAATGTGTATAGTAATACCTACTTCACAATGTGGTTTTGAAGATTAGTTAAAATGTTAAAATATCTATTGTTATTGATTTGGATGGCCTTTTAGGACTATGAAGTATCCTCATAATATTCTTTTTTTCTAGCTGAACTATATCTGCCTTTTCTTAAGTAATGTTTTCAGTATATTTAGTAGTTAATAGTTTATGCATCTCCTGACTCAGTATAAGAAACCATGACATTTCATTCTTTTCAACAAACACTATAGAGATTAAAACATGGGCTCCAGATTGGACTATTTGGGTCTTTTGGAGCTATGTTTTTTCTTAATGAAAAATAAATTGCATGTTTAAAGAGTATTTTTGAATATATTTAAGTATTATGTCAGGAGGTTAAAAGAGTAGGTTTTACATTCATGTTGTCTTGATTCAAATCCTAGTTCCAGCTTAGAAAAAATTGTACCACCTTGCCCTCAGAAGCTCACTTTTCCCCCATTCCCCATTTCCCCCATATGTAAAATGATGATAATAATGATATTTACTTTCTAAGCTAGGAAGGATTAGATGAGATAATAGCATAACTATTTAGCAGATGACTTCCTGGCTAAGGTAGAGTAAGAGGGATTTGATTTACCCTTCTACCTACAACAATCAGCATTACCTTGATACCAAAACCAGACAAAACTACAGTGCAATATCATGTATGAACATAGATGTAACGATTTCTAGACTAAATTTTAGCAAATAGAATCCAGCAATATATAAGAAAGGATAGCGTATCATAATCAAGTAGAGTTTATTGTAGGTTAGTTTGACATTTAACAATCAATTATTATAATTCACTGTATTAACCAACTACAAAATAAAAGCCATATGAGCATCTTAGGAGATGCAGAGAGTGCCTTTGACAGAATCCAACATCCACTTCCAATTAAGAAGTCTCAGCAAACCAGGGATAGAAGTCAGTGTCCCTAGCCTAATAAGCAGTATCTAACTAAAACCACTAACTGACTTCATACTCAGTGGTGAAACGCTGGATATTACTTTCCCCCTAAGATCAGGAACAAAACAAGGATATCCACTCTCATCAATTCTTGTCAACATTGATCTGGGGATTCTAGGCAGTGTAATTAAGCAAGAAAGATAAAAAGGCATCTAGGTAAGAAAAGAAGGAAGAAGTAAAACTCTCATTCACAGCTTATATGCTCTAGCTAATGTAACAAAGAAGTCAGTTAAGTAAGGTTGATACAAGCTCAAGACACAAAAACCAGTTGTGTTTCTGTATAATAGCAGTGAATATTTAGAAATTGAAATTAAAAACCAAATTTCATTTATAATAATATCAAAATGTTAAATACTTATGGGTTAAATCTGACAAAAGATCTAAAAGATCTGTACACTGAAAACTTCAAAACATAGTTAAGGGAAATTAAAGACCTAAGTAAATGGTGAAGTTTTTCTTGTTTATGAGTCAGTAGACTCACTATTGTTAAAATGTTAGTTTTCCCCAAGGTAATATATAGATTCATTTCATTTGCAAAGTTCCGGTCAGTTTTTTTGTAGAAATTGACTACCTGATTCTAAAATTCATATAGAAATATAAAGAATCTAGACTAGTTAAAACAACTTTGAAAAAGATCAGAGTTGGAGATCTACCTGATTTCGAGATTTATAAAGCTACAGTAATTAAAGCAATGTGGTATTGATATCAAAAGAAATAAAAACAATTAATGGAATAGAATAGAATAAAAAAAAAAAAAAGAAAGACAAAAGCATATGGACAACTGGTTTTCAACAAAGTGCAAAGGGATTTTTAGTGGAGAAATGACAGTATTTACAGCAAATGGTACTGGATCAATTGAATATCTATATGTAATAAAGTGAACTTTAACTCATACTTCAAACTATGTATAATAATTAACTCAAAATATATCAGAGAGCTAAATATAAGGCTTAAAATTATGAAACTTGCAGAAAAAAATTTGGGCTAGAGAATAATTTCTTAGATATGACATCAAAAACATGATCCATAAAAGAAGAAACTGATAAATTGTACTTTATAAAAATTAAAAGCTTCTGCTCTTTAAAAGACACTGTGAAGAGAGTGAAAAGACAGCTCACAGATTGGGAAGAAGTATTTGAAAATCAAATGTCTGATAACTCTTGATTGTATAAAGAATTCTCAAAAGCCAATAATAAAATTACCCAATATTAAAAATCAGCAAAAGATTTGAACCAACCTCACCAAGGAGATACATGGATGATAGACATATGAAAAGTATGCCCAGCATCTTTAGTCATTAGGAAATATAAATGAAAATCCCAAAGAGTAATCACTTACACATCTACTGGAATGAATGACATTAAAAAGTTGGCCATACCAATTGTTGTGAGGATGTGGAGGGGCTAAGGCATTCTTACACTGTTGGTGGGACTGTTAAATGATGCCACCTCTTTGGCAAACTATTTGGCAATTTCCTAAGTTGAACATCCACCTACTATATGATTTGGCTATTCCACTTTTAGATAATTTACCCAGGAGAAATGAAAACATGTCTATACCAAGACTTGTAAACAAGTATTCATGTCAGATTTATTTTTAACAGCTCTTAACTGGAAAAATTCCAAATGCCCATCACAGATGAATGTGTAAACAAAAATACTCTTTAGTGATAAGAAGAAATAAGCTAGATACATATGCTATAATAAGGATGGATTTCAAAATGATTATGCTGAGTAAAAGAAGTCAGAAAGAAGGAGTATATCCTGTATGATTAAACTTATATAAAATTCTGGCAAATGCAAACTAATGTATAGCAACAGAAAGCAGGCTAGTGGTTGCCTTGGGGACACAGTGGGTAGGGAAGAGTAAGAAGAAGGAATTACAAAGGCCCATAGTGAATTTGGGGAGTGATTGACATCTTTGTTATTCCAACTGGTGATTGTTTTATGAGTATGTGTGTGTGTGTGCATACCTAAATCAAAGTTTAATAATTGTATACATTAAGAATGTGTAGCATATTCAATGGATACTATTTAGCAATTAAAAGGAATAAAGTATGGATATATCCTACAACATTGATGAACCTCAAAAATATTATGCTTAGGGAAAGAAGCCAGACACAGAAACTGCATGCTGTATGAAATTATTTGAAATATCCAGAAAAAGCAAATTACATGAAA